TTGGTGTATATATATCCCTTGCAAGTCTATTTTATTGTAAAATATTAACAGACATTATGGCAGCTATTCCAGGCCCTTGCATTATAACAGGTGATTTCAATGCCCATCACCCGATACGGGGAAGCTTGAGGACAAACTCGAAGGGGCGCTCACTGATATTGTTTGTGTCAGACCCCAACCTGCGCCTTCTGAGGGATGGTAGCCCGACATACCTGTGAGGAATGACGTACAGCAGCTGCTCCGACCTGACACTGGTGTCGTGTTGCCTAAGTTCGAAAGCGTTCTGATTTACAGATATCGAAACCCAAGGTAGCGACCACACTTCAACCTACGACAGCATTGATGGCCAAGAGACTTCGTCCTCGCTGGTCAATCGGTATATAGACTGGACACTTTATGAAGATCAAGTGGAGGACACGTGCAGAAATGGTTCCTTTTGTAGGTTAGAAGAAGTAATTGCATGTGCATTGAAAAATTGTACGCGCCGCTTCACACGCTCACAGAAGCGCACAGAGCTTGACATCATATTATAATGGCTTCGAGCGTTACGTAGACGTGCTAAGAGAAGATAGATGCGTACCAGTTCGATTCTTTATGTCAGAGTAGCAAGGCGTATGCAAAAAAATACAACGCCGAATAGACAAGCTGCTGGATCAAAGATGGAAAAGCTTTTGTGAGTCATTAGACCCACGCAAGCTATTGTCTCCTGTATGGAGAAGCCCGCAGGGTCTTCGCTTAGGCGCCATGCAACCTCATCCCTTCAAGGCTCTCGCACTTCGTCTCAACCACCGTGAAATTGACGTTGCAGAGGATTTTTGCGCGAACATCACCGGCGGGACAGTCCTATTCTCCGATGTGCTTTTATGCGATATCCCCGGTCCACGAGATATAAGTATGAATGCTTCATTTTCTATGGAAGAGCTTGAAGCTGCACTGGCACTGTGGCACTGTGTAGGTATTCTTTTTCATCAGGGCCCGATGGGTTAATGTATATTGCTCTGCGTCACTTAGGCCAAGCAGCTGGACGAAAACTGCTAAATTTATTTAGTTCGTCATGGGAAGATGGCATCGTACCTCAAAAATGGAAACGGAGCCGTCTTGTGCCACTTCTAAAAGCAGGTAAATTCTTCCTGGTGCTGACATTATACCGGCCTGTATCTCTCGCCAGGTGCGTTGGGAAACTCATGAAGCGCATGATCCTCACGCGCCTGGAATGATTACTTGAACAGCACAACATTTACCCCGACTCAATGGCGGAATTTTGACGTGGCCGTTCATCGATTGACAACGTCGTTGATTTGGTGTCATCAGTAGAACAGCAGAAATTTAGGAAACGACTAACACTTGCGCTCTTTTTTGATGTGAAAGGTGGATATGACAACGTTTTCCATCAAGCTGTACTAGACACACTGCTGTTAATTGAACTGGGAAGGCGAATGTTTTAATGGATCCGAAGCTACCTGACACGAAGATCATTTTTTGTAAATAGTGAAGATGGTCCGACCTCAGACCACTATACGTGCCGTGGCATCCCGCAAGGTGGTTTTTAAGCACAGTTCTTTTCAATCTTGCCTTACTTGGCCCGGAGGAAGCTCTCCCGGATACATTCAGTGTTTTAATATACGCGGATGACATGTGTGTATGGACATCTGCATTGACACGCCTACAAGTTTGAGTAACTATCAGGGGGCAGCGTCACAAGCATCTGACTATTTTCGCATGCAAGGTCTAACAATCTCAACAAAAATTGTGCACTGGTGGTCTTCACGCGCAAGGCGATGACAAGTTACCCGATAAGCATTCATGGCCAGCCCATCTCTTAGAAGCGTAGCCATCGTTTTCTAGGCGTCATTGTTGACCACGACCTCTCCTGGAGCCCTTACGCGACTATCCTCAAAGCGAGACTGGCATCTATTGCCCTTGTCCTGAAAGTCATCGCTGGAAAAAGATGGCGTTCGTCATTGAGTTCCATGCTACAGCTTTATCGAGTGCTTTATTGATGTAATACACTACAGTTCTCCTCTGCTTACTAAATCTTGCAAGACAAACATTCGAGCACTTCAGAGCGTGCAAGCACAGTCACTACGTGTTTGTCTCGGCCTACCACAAACTACCTCAACCGCTGGAACAGTTATATGGGCTCGCGATCATCCGGTTGCGACCTACGCCACAACCAACGAGCTGAGAGCACATATTCGGCACATTTCACGAATAGTATCAAGCCATTCGACATTTCTGCCAGAACAACGACCACAGGCTTCATTATCTAAGGTTGTCAGCTCCCACTGCGCTTTGCTACCATCCGGTTTTAAACGCATGGCACGTTTATCATCCACCTTGTGGAGCCTACGACAACCATATGTGCGCCTTTCCGTCCTCGGAATAAAAAAAAATAGAAAAGTCCTTTATGCCTTGGTCTTGAAGCAAGTGACTCTGGACTGCTTAGACACTTTCTACGCTGACAAAATCCGCGTATACACAGATAGATCTGCCACCCAGGCTAGCTCCACCGGCGCCACCATCATTCCATCGCGACACATCAACATCACTTACAAACTTTGTCACGCGAGCACATCGACTGGCTATATATATATATATATATATATATATATATATATATATATATATAAGTGGTTATAACAGAAGAAAAGAGAAGTGCCGACCCGTAGCTGTTTCTCCTTACAAGGACACCTCAACACGTATGCAGCGGAATGGGCTATGGGAAATAAATGATATAGAGAGGGTAAGATTGGAAAAGAGAAAAAAAAAATAGCGGTGAGGATCATTCGATCTGCTTCCTGCAACGAACTCACGAGCCCCCACGTACCATGCGCAGCTGACTAGGAAAGCTCCCAAGGGACGGAGAAGTATCGTCATCGAGAGGAGGACAATGGGTGGGATTGGCGCGTCGTAAAAAGCGCGTGAAGCATTCTCTGTACGGAAAAAATTGCGGTCCGTAGCACCGACTAATAGGAGTCCAATAGACCTCGATGGGGATGCACTAGTGTTCCTTCAAGTCACAAGCGCTAAAACAGCGCAGACGTCTTGAGGAAGGGGATGAGGGCAGCTTGCGCGCGCTTCACTAGGCATACGTACGCACGGGGAAAGGGAATCACATCAACAGTGGTGGTGGAGAGTCCCAGTTTGCTGTAAGCATCGAAGAGTGATCTGCGCGCGTCCGAATACTCCTCACACTTGAAGATAATGTGATGGATTGTTTCGGGCTGCGGGAAATGACGGCAGTTTGGGTCTTCCCGTCCCGACTGTCTGTGAACCGGTTCCGCTGTGCGGTAGCAGCCGATGCGCAGGCGGAGTAGGAGGGAGCGCTCCTCTCTCGAAAATCGAGTTTTCGGGAGCGGGCGTGGTGGCTGCCCTGCCGCAGCTCGTGGGTCCGGGTGGCGAACGGTGACGGAGCACCGTGTGCGAAGCCATGCTACGTCGAATGTGCTCACCGGTGTAGTCACAGTGGTTCCCGGAGAGTGCGCATCCTTGGCGAGCTCGTCAGCCGCTTCGTTGCCGGATATTCCAACTTGCGCTGGTATCTATTGCTGCAAAAGATCACATCCGAGGTGTTGCACTGCTTCGAGCTTTCGCGCTATGCGCGTGGCAACCAGAGGTCTGCGGGAGTCCTGCGCGAGTAGTCGGAGAGCAGCACGTGAGACCGAGAGAACGGCAGCCGACGGAAGTCTCAGTTGAAGGAAGGCATCGGCGGCGAGGTCAAGCGCGGTGAGTACGGCTATCGTCGACGATGCCTCGCCGGCGAGGCGGCACTGATTGTAAAGCTCCAGCGAAGGCACCACACACGCAGCCGCGGCACAACTGTTGTTCAACACTGAACCGCCAGTAAAGACGAAGAGTCGTCCCGCGAGAAGCTCGTCAAAAGTGGCGGCAGTTTCATGCTGAAGCGCGCACTCTGGCGTCGTCCGCTTGCTTGCCACTCCCGGTAACCGTGTCCGAATCTTCAGAGGGCGATGGTGGCAGGGCGGGGCACAATAGTCATTCACATCCGGTGAGCTCTGGACGAGGGCGTATAATGCCGCAGCGCATTGCCCCATTCGTGATTGCGGAAGTGAGGAGAGCCAGAATACCAGCTGCTGTCCGTGGCGCGAGCGTTTCATACGCTCTATGTGATTTGGCACTCGAAGAACGGCCCGGAGTGACAGCGGCATGTCTCCTGCCTCAGCGAGTGTTGGGCCGTCTCGAGATGATCTGGGCAAGCTGAAAAACTGGCGAATCGCAATACGATGCGCTGCGTCGAGTGTTTCCCAGTTGGAACACGTAGGCGCCGCCAGAGGAAGGCCGTACAAAATGCGCGCCGGAGCCATTCCGGTGTAGATGCGGAGAGCTAGGGACGGTGTGCATCCATTGCCGCGAGCAAGGAGCGCTCGAGCGGCGGAGGCGACCCTTCGCGCGTTTCGAAGCTGGTCGCTGACCAGTGGTGACCAGTTGAGGCATTGGTCCAGCTGCACTCCGAGGTAGGTCACTCGCCTCTTCCAAGGGATGGGGATTGTTTGGAGAGTGAACTTCGGCGGGTAGCACTGGGCGATATAACTTGGGTGCAGCAGCATCGCTTCCGTTTTCGCCGGTGAAAGCCTCATAACCCTGCCCGTGATGAATGCGTGAATAGAATCCACGACGGTTTGGACACTTGTACAAATACACCGGCCACAGGGCACAGGTCCCGTCGCGAACACCGCATTGTCGTCCACGTAGATCGCCGCGCGCACATCACGGGGAATGTAATCGTCGATGTCAGCCAGGGCGAGATTCAACAAGAAGGGGCTGAGCACACTGCCCTGTGGAACACCCACACTCACGGGACGCGGCTCACTAAGGACTCCAGCGACGCGCACACGCATGGTTCTGCCGCCGAGGAAGGCAGCGATGTACGTGAAGAGGAGACCAGTCACTCCGAGATCGCGCACCGCGTTCAGGATGGTGGGGTGTGGCAGGGAGTCGAATGCAGCCTTGATGTCTAACAGGATGAGGTACCCGGTATCTCATTTGTGCTGTGCCTCCTCTAGCGTTGCCATGACGTCGGCAAGGGCGTTGGAAGTGGCATGCGAACGGCGGAAGCCACATTGCGAAGGCGAGAAAACATCCAGTGCCTCGGCCATCCATTCAAGTCTCCTCAGAGCCGTGGCCTCCAAGAGCTCCAAGAGCTTGCCTGCTGCAGAGGTAAGGGAAACAGGGCAACAGGACGCTGGCCCCGAGGCGGGTTTGCGCTTCTTGATCACGGGGACGACGATGGTTTCGCGCCACTCTTGCGGCACTATCCCCGTGCGCCACACGTCGTTGTAGGCGGCCAACAGCACTGGGAGCTGGGACTGATCGAAGTTGCGAAGCATCTGGTAAGTCACGCCGTCAGTGCCAGGCGCTGAGTGCCGTTTGCGTGACGCCAAAGCCAGGCGCAACTCCCCGAGAGTGAAATCCTCAATGCATAAAGCGCGTACTTGATTGCGCATGCCAGTGGTGAGGAAAAAGCGATGAGGTTTGTACCACTCTTGGCGATGGTGCAGTGGGAGTTGGGAAACCTCGGGCAAGCTTTCGGGAGCGCTGAGGCGGAGGGTGTCTGCCAGTAGCTCGGCCAATCACTGGTAAGTGGGTCAATGTGCAACAGCAATGGCGAGGGCTGGGAAACATAACTGAATGGGGCAGAGGACGGCACTGAATATCCTCCACGCACGCGCGGAGCGTCGTGGTTTGTCTAGCGGGACGCATAGACTGCCACAAGAGTGGTCGCGTCTTTGGCGTGCGTGTCGGCGACAAACGGCGTCAAGGCGATATTAAAGTGTCCAGAGCTCCTTGTGGTCGCTTTTAGTCGCACGGCGCTGAAGCCTCCGGCGAGCCGCGCGTAGATTGAGAAGTTTTATGTCAGGAACTGGTGTTCCCACTGGCACTGTGCACTTGCGCGAGGCCGCTTCGATGCAGCGGGCGACGCGCGAGTAGTAGGCGACACCGGAAGGTGGACAGGCAGCCGAGAGCTGCCGAAAACGCGGCCAGTCAGTGACAGTGTATGTGGGCGTGCCCACGCGGCTCCGATCAAGTGGCTCTAGGTAGAGGGGTAATGATCTGAGCCCCACGTGTCTGCCTCTCTCTTCCATTCGTACCGGCAATGGTCACTCACTATGAGAGGTCTACGGCACTGCTCTTTACGCCGCGACGGACGAAAGTCAGACAGCCCGTATTTATAATAAGCAAGCCTGTCTCAGCAATGGTATCCAACATGTCTCTGCCTCTGCAGTCTATGTGGTCACTCCTTCAAGCCGTGTGGTGTGAGTTGAAGTCTCAACAAATTACACAGTCACCTTGTAGGCATCATCGCACCAAACGGGTCACGAATGCCGTGTCCCACCTGTGGACAAGATGGACATAAACACACGCCACTGCCATGTCGCACTGCCCGAGACACACTTTAACCACCACACACTCAACCTCACTGCACAAAGTGTCAGAAACATCAACAGTGCAATGTGAGAGTTCATTGCGTACGTAGATAAAGGTGTAAAAGCGGGCGGGAGGATGTGTGGGGTCGCAGCACACATCTAAGTCGCAATCATGCACTTGACATCTCGCTGTACAGTGGTAGCTCGAGTAACCGGTAAGTCTACATTCGCTTCCGCGTACATAAGCCTCCTGTAGTGCGACGATGTCTCACTCGTTGAGCCACAAGTACTCAGTGAGGTCACTGTGACGGTGGCGCAAAGAACGACAGTTCCACTGAAGGATGCGCGGCCGCCGCGCACAGTTTTTACTCGCCATGCTGTGTCAGAGCTTGTTGCGTTACCAGCGCTGCTATGCAGAGCGGGCGAACCGGACAGTCGCGAGGGAGGAAGTCCAACGCGGCACGAGCTGCGGCCGCGAGTACCGAGATCGCCGAGGCATTCTCTGGAGTGGTGGTGGTGTTCATTGATGCATGAGCAGTAGAGCCACCAGCGGCCGCCGCATACGAAGACCCCTCTCGAGTGGCAGAATTCTGTGCCATGGGATTGTTCTTGCGAACAACTGCAAAGGCTTCGCGGCGTGTCATGGGGAGGCCGATTGCGTGCGGACATCTAGTAGCTGACTCTCTTGTTGCCAGCGAGGACAGTGGGGTTCTGTGGCCAGATAGGTGGCGCCACAGAATATGCAACGCGGGTGCTGCGCGGTGCAATCTGCACGCGGATTTGGCCCGCCACATTGCACACAACGTTCATGTGCGGCGCAGGTGATGCCCGTGTGGTCATATCGACCGCACCGTTCACACTGCACAGGACGAGGGCGGCGAGCACGGACCAGGCTTCGTTGTTTGCAAAGTTCGATGTCCTGTGGAGGTTTCCGTCCAGAGAACATCATGATGACATTGCATCTGGATCGCGTGCATCGCAGTACAGGGAGCTGCGATGCAATGTTGTCGCGTACTTCCTCCTCCATGAGTGCTGGGTCGACGTTGTGGATTACTCCACTGCAGGTGTTGGTTGACGCCTGCTTGGCACGCACGGGGATCTCGCAGATGTCGGAAATTGTGAGGAGGGGCGCGAGCGGTGCTCCCGCGGCAACATCGACCGTGATAACATTGCGGCCGAAGTTAATTCGCACGCGTTGTGCTTCCTCAACTGCCACTAATTGCGCGGAGATTGCCTGTTGTGTCGCAGACCAAAAGGAGTTTTTCTTGGCGCTTGTCCTGTAGAGGACGGTCTCCAGCTGGGAAGTGGACCCAAGGTTCGCAGGTAGATGAAAGGGCAGGGTATATTTTTGGGTTGAAACCGCAGGTTTTTGTACCCCCTGGTTCTTTTGCCATGTGTTTGTAGTAGGAACCTGTGGTTCGCATAGTTTGGCGCCATTTGGAACACCTATGGATGGCAGTGAAGGAAATGGTTCCTTGGGCAGCCCCAGCACACAGCTGTTGTGAGCAAGGGGGCGTGCCTGCATTTTTTAAGATGCGCTCGATTTGTGTACATCCTGGCGTAGCTAAGTACACGGTCTTTAACGTTCGGAAATGGTTGCCCTGCAAGGTGTCATCGATTGTATCAAGCAACAACCGGCTAATCGATGGGCAGTATCCTGTGACTCCAAGGCAGTTTTACTATGTATTTCGTCGGCCCTTTGTCGCGGGTCATACGAACAACTGGTATGGGAGATAAAAAAATGCTGCGCTATGCAACTGAACAAGGACACAATGTTGTGTTCCAGTGGATACTAAGTCATTGCGGTATCCCCGGCAATGACCTCGCCTATGAAGCAGATAGAAATGCACACGTACAAACAAACCCTGTGTCCGTACCTTTATCTAGGATTGACTCGGCTACATACCTAAGTAAGGTGGCGCAGGACATGACACTCCAGAAGTGTCAGTCATCACAGTTCGCACATAATTGACTATATTCTCTCGACCCATCTTTACGACTGCGGCTACCCTCTGGTCTTTCTAGGGAGGAAGGTAAAGTGTTGTGCCGTTTGCGTAAGGGCGTAGCCTTCACCTATGCCTACTCGTTTAAGATAAGGATGGCGGACAGCGCGGAGTGCGACGACTGCGCCGTCGATGAGACTATTGAACACATCTTATGTTACTGCCCGGAATACACAAACAAGAGGCTTCACCTGCGCAGTGTTTTAAATCAACTGGACAAAAGTGATTTCACTGTATAGAAAGTATTGGGACCATGGCACTGCTCATCCAATTCCCGAAAAGCAACGAAAGCACTGTTGCATTTTCTCGAAGACACCAGCCTCTGTCATCGTTTGTGATGGTGAAACTGTGACGCGTCGGCCCAGTCAGTGACGTTTTCTCTCCTGATCAATAACTTTTTATCCCCCTCTCCCCTTCCCCAGTGCAGGGTAGCCTAAGCCTACCGGGGCTCAGCCGTGGTTAACCTCCCTGCCTTTCTCCTTGTGTTCTCTCTCTCTCACTCTGAGATATGAAAAGTTTGAAAATGCCATGCTACTTATGGAAAGCCAATGCTCATGTATACATTGCCTACACTATTAAAAGAACTTGCCAAAGAAATATGGGTAGCTTCAATGGCTTTGAATCAGTTACGGGATATGAATGTGCAACTGTGATTGTTCTTTTTGTTCAATGTACTACATATATTTCTTACTTTGATTTCCAATTCAGCGAATTTAAATTATTTTCGACATTGAGAGTATAAATATGTCTGTTATGAAAAATTGTATTCTAGAATTTTTATTGCAGTTTTGATGTGTACGTATAAATTTTCCTTTATTTATGCCGATGCGCACTTCCTTCGTGTTTTTTTTCTCTTATGTGTTCTTTTGTATCTCTATTGTTGCGATTCTCACCACTGTATGCCATAGTCTGGCGCACGTATCTAGTGAAGCCTTTTTAGGGTTTTAGTCTATGCACCAAACATCACTGAGATGTTGAATAAAGTGGAATTGAAATGAAATTCTTTATCAATATCCACTACAACTTCGAAGACATGTTACCCGCCGACTGCCGTGGGTCGCTGGGAATGTTCAACAAAAGGAAGCGTTTCACACCTCGCGCTTTTGACGGTCGCTCGTCTCCATGCCGCCGCATCAGTTGATTTTTTGCCTAATATTGATGTGGTTATCAGTGGGTTCATTTAAACTCGCCTGAGGCATAGGCTCTGTTGAGGTGGCCTTGCTCGTCAACGTGGCCGCTGCGGATATATGTAGGCGCTTGTTTGGAATCCCTTCTATGACAGGTTACATCCCAGGTTTGCCTGGCAGAGAACAGCGTGGACTGTGTGCGCTCAAGGGCGTTCGTCGGACCAGCCGCCCACTCTGAGCCCGCCTCATCGATCAGTACGTCGGCTTGGTCTTCGCAGATTGCTGGTGCTCTCACGCTGGCTTGCGTTTGCAGACGCTGGCTGTCTTCATGACCGAAATGCTGGTTGTAAGGAAAGGACACAAAAGCACTGTGTGTTAGGTACGATTTGTTGGAAAAAAAGACTTAAAGACGCCGAGGAACGTCAAACCAAAACTGAAGAAGACAAGCGGAGGGCAGGTGGCACGAAGGCGACAAGAAATGAAAAAGAAGAGGAGAAGAAGAAGGAACGTGCGGAAAAGAGAGCTCGAGGGTTGAGGCCACGAAGGCAGAGGAAGTGGTGCGCCTCTCGAGAGTACGATTTCCTGGCAGCGTTCCTGAGCCGGATGTGGGAACCGTACGTGTCGGCCAGGTCGAGCTCCGGTGTGTCTATTCGAGGTCGAGTCCGTCAGCCTGTACAAGGTCCAAGGACGGGGCCTGCTGAATGGCTCCTGCCTAGGTGCAGTGGCCGGGAGCAAACTCGTCGGCGAGGCCTACCGGGTGTGGTCCTCGTGAGCTGTGGCCTAATCTTGAACCTCAGGAGTTGCGACCCTGACTGCTGGGTTAGCCGCAACG